TGATTTTCGTGAAAAAAAAGTGGTGTTGATTTGAAGAAAAATTGAGTAATTTAATTTTCAAATTTCCATGTGCTTTTCGTATAGGTAACTTTCGCTCCCTCTGGTAGGCTTAATATGCCCCGGCCACGAGATGTAATCGATCCCGGATATGAAGGAAGCATTGTAGAATTGATTTTCGTGAAAAAAAAGTGGTGTGATTTGAAGAAAAATTGAGAATTTTAATTTTCAAGTTTCCATGTGCTTTTCGTATAGGTAACTTCGCTCCCTTCTGGTAGGCTTAATATGCCCCGGCCACGGGATGTAATCGATCCGGGATATGAAGGATGCATTGTAGAATCGATTTTCGTGAAAAAAAGTGGTGTTGATTTGAAGAAAATTGAGAATTTTAATTTTCAAATTTCCATGTGCTTTTCGTATAGGTAACTTCGCTCCCTCTGGTAGGCTTAAATTGCCCGGCCACGGAATGTGATAAATAGTGTGATAACACTGACAACGCACAATGTATATAATTTTGTGTAGATACTATAACACCGTTTTACATGGGAAGACGGTGCCGCACCGCCTGCTTACGTTGCGCCGGCTTCGCTGCTGTAGCGACGCGCGATGGTGTCAAGCGCGACGCGGCCGCTGGTGAGAAGAGGGACTATCGTTTGTTGCTGGCTGGCCGTTGTTGCTAGAGTCACCGCGGTCACGCGTTGGGGGGGGGTATACGAGGGGTGTCTTTAAGTTTCGCATATAGAAACATAGGACGCGCGGATCGAACGTCAATACTGAATCTTAACCTCTCTCTTTAGTAAACTTAAATATGTCTAATAGCATTAACCACAAAAGCAAGATATTAATAATAATAATAATAATAATAATAATGCCTTTATTAACTGCTGTGAGGCGAAGTTAGCCAGACGGCTACTCTTACACTCAACCCCACAACAGGAAAAAAAATACTTACACACATAAACAAAATAATAACATACCAAAAAAAAAATACAATTCATAAGAATGACAACATTGATTGCACGAGACAAATGCAGATAGCATTGTGAGAGTTTTAAATTTGAAACAAAAATAGTAGAAAATAGTCAAACAAAAAAAAAATCACATGAGCACAAGAAAAACTGAACTAAATGGACTCCAGCAGCTGACTTTTCATTAATTTCTTAAAAGAAACAACCTGTTTGGATCGATAGCCACTGTTGACTGCATTGTAATGCTTGACAGCATTATAGGTGTAACTTCTTTCAAAGACCGAGGTATTGTGAGGAGGCATGTTAAAATTACCATTAAATCTAAGAGCTCTGGTAACAAAACTACCTCGGTGAACTAATTTGCTAGCGAGGTAAGCTGGTCTGTTAGATAATAGAACTTTATGCGTGAAGACGGTCAAAAGATATAAAAATAACTTATCAATTCGCAACCAGTTGAGTTCTTTGATTTTATCTGAGACGCGACTAAACCTGCGCAATCCAAAAATAAACCTACAACAGCTGTTCTGAATTTTCTGGAGTTTCCTTTTGTGGACGTAGTCTAAACATGGGTAATACAGAACAAGAGAGTAAGAAATGACAGACAACACAAGACTTTCAGCAAGCTTTTTTCGGGTTTTAAAATTCAAGATGTATCGATTAGAATAGAGGAGTTTCAAACGCAAATACGTTACTCTAGATAAGAAAGAGACATGCCGATCGAATCTCATATTTAAGTCAAGGGCAACACCGAGATTCTTGGCGTAATCCACAAAAGGGTCTCATCCAAAAAACACAAATCCTCTGCTTCATTTCACGGTAGGAGTTCTTTGAACAGTACAACATTGCAGTAGTTTTATTAGGATTGATCTTCAAGCAGTGTTTGTTACACTAATCACCGTTAGCCAAATCTTAATTAACTTTAAAAGAAACTTCATCAACCTTTGATGGATCGAAACCAAACACTAACTGAGTATCATCTACATAAGTTTGCATACTACAGTGGACTAAACAGTCTTACAGATCGATCGTATAAATCAGATATAGTAAGGGACCTAATACTGAGCCCTGAGGAACTCCTGAAGGAACTGGCTCAGAGGAGGAAATTCCCTGATCAGTTTTCACTGTTTGTTGACGATTTAGCAAGTATGACTCAAAGAACCTTAGAACTATATCTGACATTCCATAATGAAATAACTTACTCAATGGTATCTGGTGATTGACCAAATCAAAGGCTTTCGAGAAATCTAACAGTACCAAGCCGGTGTTGATGTGATTATCTAAATTGTGAATGATGGAATCAGTAAGATGTAATAAAACACGAAGTAGTGCTGTAACCAGCTCTGAAACCTGACTGATGTAGAGGAAATAAGTGGTTTTGTTCGAAAAACTCACTAGTTGTGAGTAGACAGCTCTTTCGAGTATTTTTGATAGAAAGCATAATAAGGTAATTGGCCTGAGATCCGAATATTGTTCTGGATGATTAGTTTTAGCTATTGGAATAATAATACCATTTTTCCAACTGGCAGGAAAGTAACCTGTTTCGAGACAGACATTAATAATGTGAGTTATATGGTCTATGGTATCAGGCAAACATAAGCAAACCATATTTAAAGTTAGACCATCAGAGCCACATGCCGTAGACTTAATGTGAGAGATTATATTGACGATGTCTTGCTGAGTAAGGAGTTTAAAAGCAAACAGAGGTGCATCCGGTGTATGGCGTCTATCGCTATAAGAGTTAGAGACACTATCAATCAAATTTGTATCAGCTGCAGCTGTCTGGAAAATTGAAAGAAAAATATTTATTTAAAATGTTAGGCTCAAGGAGACTGGGAGGTATCGCAATATGTTTCTGGGCTACCACATTCATCCTCCTCAGGTGTTTCCAAGCTTGACTAGAGTTAAGATTCCGGAAACGTGACATATACGCTTTTTTCTCTCTTCTAAGCGATGCAAGGGCATAATTTCTCAAATCTTTGTAGCTGGCCCAATTCTGATCAGATCTGTTATGCTGATAGACAGCGAATGCCTCATCTCTGAGTTGAAAAATCATTTTCAAGTTAGGAGTGAGCCAGGGCGCAGCAGGTTTTGTGACACGTACTGTACCTAGCGGAGCGTAGAGATCGAATAGATAAAGAAGACGGTCAGTAAAAATAGAGACTTTAATATCCACATCATTCACGAAATAAATGTCATTAAGCTGCATTGATGCAATCTGCGTCTCAAAACTTTGAATATCAATGCTATTAAGATTTCTATATGTTACAAATTTAGGCTCTATTTTTTTATAACAAACGGAAATATCACAGTATGTGAGCCGATGATCACTAATTGAGTCTGCATTGAGTGTCCCTGACCTTTTGACGATAGTATTGTCACTAACAAATATTGGATCAAATAATGTGGAACTGAAGGCTGTAACACGTGTAGGCTCATCAATGACTTGAATGAAATTGAATGAATCAAAGCAGCTGCTGAGGATGTTGTTATGAGCAAGCAAGTCGACATTCATATCGCCCAAGAATATAATGTTGTCATATTGGGGAGTGAAAAATGAGGTAAGATTTTCTAAACACTGGATGGCTTGATGTATAGAGCAATGTGGTGTTCTATATATAACAACAATTAACATACTGGACCCGTGCAGTTTAAATTATAGCATAACATTTCAAGAGGATTTATAAAGTCATCGAGCTCAACTGGGATAAGATTAGTGCTAATATCTAATTTAACATAGAGACCGATGCCACCCCCTCTGCTTACATAAGCGCAGAGCTAACTTTTGGCTAATAAAGAAAATAATAGTGATCTGGAGGCTCTGAAGAGATCTTTTAGTAGTAATTGGAAATATCCATTAATCAAACGAGGTAGAGGTAGGTTCAGTTCGTCCTTTCACTTTTATAAGTATTGTTCAAGACCGAATGATGATCTTGGAAGTAGTACGAGCGGTTGCTTCTAAAAGCCGAATATCGATCCTTTGCGAAAACCAGCAGGTCGCTCTCAAAAAGCGTTTTCAATGTCAAGTGTCCTTTTTGGTAGTCAAGTTCAACCAGATGACCATGTATGGGATAACTATAAAGTTATGGCCAAATCCTTGGACTAATAAACAAATAGATGGACCGTAATCACGAAAGCAAACCCTCCATTCCTAATGAAAAAGATAAACGTCTACTACGAGGGACGTCTTTTAAGTAGTCTGCGCGGATCGAACGTCAGTACTGAATCTTAACCTCACTCTTTAGTAAACTTAAATTCAAAGTTTCACAACAATACGTGCAGTGTTCTCACTACAGTGAATTTTTAAGTGTCACCAAGTCATTAGAAAAATGGAACTCAGCCGAGAACATTTTCGCGCCATAATTTATTACAACTTTCAGAGACAATTATCGCAACAAGAATGCCTTGCTGAGTTACTGTCTGTTTTCGGTAACGAAGCGCTACATCAGTCGACAACTTCCCGTTGGTATGGAGAATTCAAACGTGGGCGGGTGAGTCTTAGCGACGATTCCAGGGTGGGTGCACCAAAAACGGCAGTCACCCAGGAAAACGTCGATGCTGTGCGCAAACTCATCATTGAAGATAGACATGTGACATATCGCGAGATTGAAGCGTCCTTGAAGATCTCAAAGACCACAATTCAAAAAATTTTACATGAAGAATTAGGAGTAAGAAAATTAGTTTCTCGTTGCATACCCCACCTGTTGACTGAAGAGTAGAAAGCAGCCAGGGTTAATTGGTGTCAAAAAACGCTTAACCGTTTCAATTCCGGAAACTCAAAAAATGTGTACAGCATTGTTAGTGGTGATGAATTGTGGATTTACTGTTAAGAACCAGATGGACCGGAAAAGATGGTCGCGACATTTGTGTCAAAAGCGGGTCATATTGCAACAGTTACAATTACGAGTGGAATAAGTGCTTCGAAAATTGGTTCGAGCGCATGCAGATGTGTATTAATCTTCGTGGAGAATACTTCGAAAAACAATAAAGTCATTTAAAACTACCTACCGTGTTGTTTTATTTCCACATGCAAAACTTAAAAGACATCCCGTAGCGCTCCATGACGAATTGGACGTGTGCTTTAAGCAAATACTACGACGTCACCTACTGAAATGCGTATATCAAAAATGACGCGCAATTTAAATCAGTCAGTTATACATTGGCCACCCTGTATTTAGGGAATTTTTCGGTTCCGTAGGTGCTCGGGATTTCTGGATATTGAGCCTATTGGGACTTTTGATCGCTTTGTTGAAAACTACCTCTATGCAAAATTTGAATTAGTTTAGCCGAAATCCGTTTTCATAAAAAAACTGCGCGATTCAGTGCACAACAAATTTTAGTTTTTTAATTGTATCTTGTGGGAAAAGTGCACTTCTTTGTTAATTTTGCGGCGCTGAATCCAAAAATGACAATGAAATAAAAAAATTAGTTGCGGTTTAGAAAAAAACTTTTTATTTTTAAGGATATATTAAAAAAAGTAAGAAGATTCATATACTTATAAGAATCACTATATGCGCTGTCTTTTTGCTGTTCTTTTATGGATCGTTTCTGGAGCATCTCTACCAAGAGTCCAACAGTAGTCTGCAAGCATGGAAGGATTCCACTTTCCCTGGTACCTTTTTTCCATTGTTGAAATATCCTGATGAAAACGTTCACAGTGCTCATCACTTACGGCTCCGCAATTCTCAGGAAAAAAGTCCAGGTGTGAGTGTAGGAAATGTATCTTAAGAGACATATTACAGCCCATCTTTTGATACGATGACAGCATATTTTTGACAAGGGTTTTATAGTTGCCAGCTTTTCTATTTCCCAAGAAATTAGTGACCACCAGACGGAAATCATTCCAAGCAGATTTTTCAATACCTGTTAAAGTGTTTTCAAACTGTGTATCTTTCAAAATATTTCGAATCTGTGGCCCAACAAAAATACCGTCTTTAACCTTTGCCTCACTTAGTCTTGGAAATTTCTGACGCAGGTATTGAAAAGCTGACCCATCTCAATCTAATGCCTTGACAAAGTTTTTCATTAGGCCCAACTTTATATGCAGTGGTGGTAATAAATTTTTTTTCGAATCTACTAATGGCATATGCTGTACATTTTTTTGACCTGGCTCTAGGAATTGACGAACAGGCCAGTTTTGTCTGGTGTAATGAAGTGCCTTTGCCCGACTGTCCCATTCACACAAAAAAACAGCAAAACTTTGTGTAGCCTAGCTGCAGCCCAAGTAAAAGTGCAACAACAAATCGCCACAAATATGCCATTGGTGCTCATCGTATTTTATGCATGTCAATAGGTACTTCATATTGTCATATGATTCTTTCATGTGAACTGCATACCCTACAGGAAGCGATGGTAAAATATTTCCAATATGCAATAACACTGCCTTTAAACTCAATGTTGAACTGTCTATAAACAATCTCCATTCTTCTGGGTTATAGTTTATATTTAAAGCCGCCAGTAACTCGTTAATGTTACTGCAGAAAACCAAGTTATTCTCCATATTGAAAAATAGTTTTAAGTCTTTGTGGCGTTTACGAAAAACACATACCGAAACATCGTCTTCTAACGAGTTCCACTGCTGCAGTCTTGATCCAAGTAACTCTGCTTTACGTTTTGGAAGTTCTAAATCTCTTACAAGATCATTTAATTCTGGCTGTGTTATTTTGTGCGATTGGTGGCATGACGTGCTCGGTATAAAATCAGGATCTCTTGACGTTGATGGCATATCTTCTTCCTGACGAATCACTCGATCGCCATGATCTGATTCGTTTTCTGATTCGCAAGTGTAGGATTCTGGGGGTTTTGGAATAGGATTTTCGTCACTGTGAGGCACAGGTTTCATCGCAGATGGTATGTTTGGGTAGTTAATAACCGATTTTTTTTTTCTTGGACATACCTGTGGCTTGTCCAACACAAGGTACCATGCAAAAGTAACAATCATTAATATGATTTGTAGGCTCTCTCCAAACCATTGGGACAGCAAAGCGCATAGACCGTTTTTTGCCATTTAACCAGCTCCTCAGACTTGAAGCACATGTATTACAGCAGATGTGGGGTGCCCACTATTTATCTTGATCACCTAGTTTAGAACCGAAATAAAGCTGATATGCCTTTGTTATTAGTGGAGTAGTAGACCGTCTCTGAGACGCAAAAGTCACATCACCACACACGTAACAAAACTGATCTGGATTGTTTACACACTTTCGAGACATCTTGCATGAACGCTGTCAGCCAACTGAGGAAAAAATGGCTAATATAAAACAATATAATGTACACGTATATATAACGTAACACAATCATGCCGATTACATCATCTTTCCTTGCCGAATATAAAAATGTAGCACGTGCATTCTTGTGAATTACAGTATATTAACACTGTCACAGCAGGAACACATATAATTACCGTATCTCTAAAACTTGACCTAATATTGAAAAAATAAGTTTCATTCCGGTTTTAGCACATTAAAAATAGTAATATTTTGTTGATTTTATTTAGGATATTTTTTGGCTGTTGATCAGTATTTGGTGTTGGTAGTATTGTCCTTCCTTTCTATTGCTTGCGCTTAGGTACACTTATCCTAATTTGAGATAATTGGGTAATTCCAGGGACATACTTTGGCGGATCCGCTACGGAGTACTCTGGAGGAGATACTTCTGAACCCAACCTCGGACCAGATCAGAAGATAGAGAGCAACATATACCAAGACGATGAAGAAGGTAATGTGAAAGAAACAGACGAACTAGAAGAGAAACGGTTATTTAGTATCGCAGATTATTTATTAGATCCCAAAAACTTTGAAGCCACACTCCGTACAACGATTGTGATGAACAACGTGGGAACTGAATCGACATCAAGTAATGCTTCTACCGTTGAAACGAGTGGCGCCAAAGGAACTGAGACAACGACAATCAAACGGAAAGTAAGTATATGTTTAGGTGGATGAGGGTGTATTAACTCATATGAAGGTAGTTTCAGCTAAAGAAGAAGTGTCATTGTCGACCAAAACGGAAAGTAATGAAAACGGTGAGTACCATAGGTTATACGCTGTTTTTGTCTTATGTTATAGTTGCAATCAACGTTCTTGGCGGGTACGTCATCAACGCCATATGAAATAAGTAAACAGCTCGAGTCTCCGTACCATGGGCGGAACACTGCGCAGACTAATCTCCAGCGCATCTGCTACTCTCTCCAGTAGGCATGAAGTGGAAATACACTAATAAATTTAGCCTTCTCCATTGTTCGTATTTCCAGGCATTGTACAATTTTATATCGAAGATTGATAACAGGACAACTCGAATTATTGCACGCCGATGTCAAGGGGCCGTTCAAGTATTACGTGAGCACTATGGGGGGGGGGCGAGGGGGTCTTTGCTTTGCTTATTTTGGATGACATGGGGGGTAAGGGAGTCTAGATGATGATTACGTCATCGGTAGTTATTTACTTTTTTATACGAATGACAACCCTCACATTGTCTTTGCTTGAAAACGAAACGCATTTTCGGGGATTCCCGCAAATACTGCATGCGTTTAGTGAACAGCGCGGGGTAATTCCCCTACTCGCAATAGAACCTTATTGTTTTGTTTGTGTTACCATTGTTTCCATTAGCCACAGTTTAATGTTTAAATAAGATGTCGTTTCACATAGACAAATCCAAGATATACCAAAAATTGTTTGAAATTTTTAAATAATCTCATACAAGTACGAAAGTACAAAATGTACAAAAGTTAGTTAACGAAGTTTGGCGAAATTATAAATTACAAGCAAAATCCGACAATGAACTAGATATTATTATATCTAAGAGAATCGAAGAAGAATTGCAAGCGGCGACTAAGAATAAATCCAATCTACTAAATTTTTTGTCTAAGGTGACTGACGAAATCATTTTAGGTACCTATGAGTACTAGAAATATTTGAAATCGCCAAAAAGTTTCTCTTTACTGATCAGAAAATATTATGGCCTATCTCAAAATATATAATTATAATATAGATTTATTTATTTATTTATATTATAGATTTATTTACAGGATGTTAGTTTTATACATATATACAGAAAACTAACACCCTGTATTTTGTGACCGGAACGAATTGCTCGTTTAAACATATTAGATTTGAAGCTATAGGGTTTTGTATTTACCATATATATATATTGCCATCTTTGTATTTATGTAGCTTAAATTAAGAGGATCTTTAGCAGAAGCCATAGAAAGTGTTTATTTTTAGGCAACCTGTAAAGCTGCAGAAAAAACACAAATTATACAGTTAGCTTCAAATATTAAAAAAGAGGAAGAAGATAAAATAAAACCCGGTAATGAATCACAACAGCAATGCGAAATTAATGAAAATACAGATAAACAGAGAGCAAAACCTTCTCAGGAAGCTATGAAAAATAAGATTGCTCTACTCGAAAAAAATCTGAATGCTTTGTATTCTGCCAGAGATACTATGCCAAGCCGTGCTGAAGTTGATAAACAGATCATTAAGTTGCGCGAGGAAATAAAAACAGCAAAACAGTCTTTAAACAGGAAGGTTCAAAACGCAGTTGCCCAGAAGAAACACAGGGATGGTTTGAAAAGAAAGTTAGAAGATATGTGTCATGAAAATCCAGAAATAAAAAAAGTCTATCTCTGAGGGATTCAGTGGGACGTTCTAATCTTGAAAGCAATCAACATTCACTATTGAAAACAATCGCGGATTTAGCTTTATTTGGGAGTGCAGCAGATGATAGAAGACGAACGGAATCAATTCGCAGCGTGAAAACTCTTGATGAACTCACAGAAGAATTACGTAAAATAGGATTTGACATTAGTCGCAGTGGGACATAGCTTTGTTTGATTCCCAGAAAATCTAATTCTGCAGAGGGATGAAGACGTATCGACAGTCCCTGTTAAGCTCATTCGGGCTCAAACTGATCACCTCAAGAGCCACTTAGATAGCAAGTTCGCTGAAACATCAATCCATTATTTAGAGAACATAGCATCCATACTTGGACCAGATCAAGTATTTTTCATATCTCAAGATGATAAAGCTCGAGTCCCTATTGGCGTAACTGCGGCAAATAAGCAAGCACCTCTTCTAATGCACATGGAATATAGAATCAATTTGCTGATCACGATTGGGTAATCGCTGAGCGTCATAAATTAATACCATCTGTTTATGCTGGTATCAAAATCACTTCCAATATGCTAAGACAACCGCAAGCCGTTGGATATTCTGGACCAACATACATCGCTATTCGAAGTGGAAAGCATAGTTCATCTACTGATAATACCCATGCTCAGGATTTCGAGATGTTTCTCGAACTTGAAGAGTTTCGACCATTAGCTAAAACTGACCATGGACTAGTAAAACCAGTGGTAATCATGACGGTTGATGGAGGGCCAGATGAAAATCAACGTTATCAAAAAGTCATAGGGTTTGCTAGACAACACTTTAAGCGACATGATCTCGATGCATTGTTTTTAGCTACCAATGCTCCTGGAAGAAGTGCGTATAACAGAGTAGAGCGCAGAATGGCTCCTCTTAGTCGGGAACCGACTGGTTTAATATTGCCCCATGACCATTTTGGATCTCATTTGGATGAACGTGGCGTTACAACTGATGAACATTTAGAAAGATCTAATTTCGAATTTGCAGGAAATGTATTAGCTGAAGTATGGAGTTCAATGGAAATTGATGGCTATAATGTTAATGCAAAATATGTTGGGGCAAGTGAACAAGATCTTCCTGATTTTCCAGACATTAAATGGTACTCAGAACATGTGCGTGAAAGCCAATACTTGCTTCAAATTGTAAAATGTAGAAATACAGAATGCTGTCGTCCAAGAAGTGGCCTATTTAGATTACTAGACAATAGGTTTCTTCCACCACCTGTAAAAATAAAACAAGCAGGTGATGACTTGGTTTTGGATGAAGGAGGGCAATTTCTTAATCTTCCAGTCAATCTCTACGCTTAAGTGCTTCACTCAAAGATTTCCTGCAAATGCCCTGCGGTTATTTTTGTCCGACGCTAAAATTGAGGCTATCAAGTCGAACATGCAAAACGTGTGGTCTTAATCATGCTTCCGTCAAGTCACTAAATCGTCACATCGACAATATCCATAAAAAAGTAAACACGCACACTGATAGGAAAGTTAGACTTGTAAGAGTCGCTGCTCGTCGTGCTAATGAACTGATGTGCATTATTCAAAATTTAGAGCACCATGATGTTGAATGGCTCGATGAGAACGACGTAGACATTCCAAAATCCGTTGAAAGCGAGCAAACTCATAACACTCGAGCAATCGAAGCAATCCAATCTCATCGAAATCATGGATTCGGGTTTCATGAACTGAAGACTTAATTCGAATTTAATATATCTACCAAAAATTTAAAATAAGTTTGTTATGTTAGTAAGATATAATATTTCTGTCCTTTACTCTTTGTTGAATACCGGATCAGTAAAATATAATCTCTATCCTAAATCTATTTTCTTATTTTTCGAATTACAATTATAATATTAAAAAAAACAATACATTGACAAATGCTTACGTAAGCATGGGGGGAGGGGGAGCTTTGCTTACTTTTGCTGACAAGGGGATGGGGGGGGTAAATAATTGTAATAAATCTGTTTACGTAATACTTGAACGGCCCCCAAGTAGGTTGTCACTCTGACAAATATGACTGAAGGGCACTCATACGTAACGACAAAGTTTTCGAGACGAAGACACTCAACTAAAAAATTTATGTGTTTCAGCTCACCGAACAAACGTTCACACACAGGGGTAGGCTGCATGTGTATGTATGAGGGAGATAGAGATATACAGGGTGTCCGCAAAGTTGGGGTTTTCCTTTACACGACGTGTAGATCTTGAAAACATAAGCAATTTTTCTTAGTACCATATACACCAATGTCTTAAGGGAACCGAGATAAAGGGCTCTGCAACATCAAAAATATCTGAATACCGTCCTGTAGCCGCGACCCGCGACATCCCCGAGTGGTACAAGGTCACTGCCTCAACCCGACGACAGAACTGGGTCGGGATCAGTGTGTCAGGTCAGTATGCAACCTTCAACCGACGGTTACGGTCACGCGTGTAGAGGTAAACGAACCCGTATAATCGATTGCGTTTCAAAAAACAACAAACACTAGAGACGTGGCTAGAGAAGTGCAAGTATCAAAAACTAAAGTGTGGCAAACGCTGCGTGAAGAGGGGCTGTATCCGTTTCACGTCCAACGTGTACAAGCCCTTCAACCTGACGATTTTCCAGCAAGAGTGCGGTTTTGTGAGTGGTTGTTGCATCAACATGACAATAATCCGGACTTTTTGAAGTGCATATTGGTGACAGACGAATCTACGTTCACGCGTAATGGGGTGAATAACTTTCGCAACACTCATGTTTGGTCAGTAGAAAATCCGCACGCTGTCCGTCGGGCACATTTTCCACAAACATGTTTGGTGAATGTTTGGGCTGGCATGGTGAACGGTACGCTCATTGGACCATTTATTCTCCCAAATCGATTGGACGGGATGCCATACCTAGACTTTTTACGCAACATTTTGCCTTCCTTGTTAGAAGATGTGCCATTAAGTGTAAGACAATCAATGTGGTTTCTGCGCGATGGTCATATTTGTTACCTCTGTTCGTGGTATACTGGTCTGCACCACCGCCAGCGTCTGCTCGGTAGCGCATCAGATGATTTCATTTTCTGTTGGAGCGGTATGATTTCGGGCAAAGACGTACTTAGCCCTTCTCGTCAACTGGAGAGTGAGTACTTTTTTCTTTATTTTTTTGTACTTGGTCGCCCTCGTTTCACTACACATTACCTTTGTTATTTCAAGTAGTTGTTTCTGAAAAGGAAAACCCCAACTTTGCGGACACCCTGTATAGAGGAATAGTGGTAGTCTTTGACCCGCCAAGAACGGTGATTACAACTACAT